ACTCGTCAAGAGTCTTCCCTTCTCAGACACCAAAACTGAAAGATGACGATGTAAATATTCCTGTATATAAACGTCTTCTCCTCTCAGTGAACGCTCCTCAGTATCTTCGAAGTCCACGACGCTTGGAAGTGGGAGCATGCTCGGCCCGGAATCGTAACAACTGGATGGCAGCGGTGGGATGGTCTGTGCAGAGTCCTGGTTGCTGTGTTGGTGAGTGTTCAGCTTTCTCTTGGGATTTGCCAGGTTTGAGTAGATGGTGAAGTTTGCTTAAACTTGGTGATATAGCTGCCGGGGTAGTTGGCTTTATTTGGGTATTCCCCAGCAGAGAGTAAGGTGAAAGATTGTCACTCGAGAACAACCATGGATTTGAACAAGTTGCGCAGACCAGATCGGATTTTTTGAGTAAAGAATTGGGGCTCGATTTGGGGGGAGTCCAGAGAAAACCTCTCATAATCGAGGCGATTCGGGCGAGTGGTGCCGACGACGTGGAGCTTCGGGAATGCTGGGAGCTAATCGAGGAAAGGATTAAGAAAGAGCAGGAAAGAGTTAAGGAAGAGGAGGAAAGACAAGAAAAGGAGATCGCAGAAAGAGAGAGAGAGCGTCTTCATTGCAGAGAATCGGAGGAAAGAGAGCTCGTGGAAAAAGAGAAGGAGCGTCTTTATCGCAGGGAGTCAGAGGAAAGGGAGCTGGAACGGAAAAAGTTAGAGCTTCAGATAGCCCAGGTGGAGGCAGAGCGTGCAGGCCGAGAGACACCGAGTTCTAGGGTTGGTCAGGCTACACCGCGGCTGAAAATGACAGACCTCCTACAGCCCTTTAAAATTAAGGAGGATATTGGCTTGTTTCTTGTAAATTTCGAAAGAACATGTGAGAAGATGGACTATTCGCACGACACATGGCCGCAATGGCTCTTGACAGTTCTGCCGTGCGAGGCCGCCGACGTGGTGGCTCGGCTGGAGAGAGCGGAGGCAGACGATTATGACAAGGTCAAATCGGCTCTCCTGAAGAAGTACCGCCTTTCCGCCGACGCCTTCCGTCGCCGATTTCGCACTGAGAGAAAGAAGTCGGATGAGTCCTTCTCCGAATTCGCTTACAACCTGAAATCCAATCTCGTAGAGTGGCTGAAAGGAGAGGAAGCTTTGGGAGACCACGACAAGGTGGTCGAGTGAATCGGTCTCGAAAAGTTTTATAACTGCTTGAGGGAGGAAACCCGCCTGTGGGTGCAGGACAGACCGGGGGTTAAAACGTTGGAGCGAGCCGCCGATCTGGCAGAAGAATTTGCTTTAAGGCGCGATGCTGAGAGAAGCCGGGTTCGTCTCGGGGTAAACGCAGGCGGGGAGCCTTCCAAGAAATTTGGTGCGCACGGAAAAGAAAATGCCGGGTCGCAAGGACAAAAGAGTGAGAAAAGTGGGGAGATGTCCGATAAGAAAGAGAGCGAAGGGAGGACAGAGCCTGAGAAAAAGAAAGCGTATGAAGGTAGGAAACCTCTTGTGTGTTTTAGATGCCAAGAACCGGGACACATTAGTTCTGGCTGCCGAAAGCCGAGACTGGTCTTCTTGTTCGTCAGTGACGACGAGGAGAGCACGCAGTATCTCAGGCCTTATCTCCACGACTTAGTCGTGAATGGAAAGGCATGCGGTGTTCGCAGGGACTCTGCAGCTACATTAGATATCATCCATCCAGACTACGTTAGCGCACGTGACTACACTGGCGAGTGCGCTTGGATAAGGCAGGCCGTGGAGGAGAGTAGAGTCTGTCTTCCGATGGCGCGTGCAGAGGTGAAGGGGCCGTTTGGGGTGCTGTGCACGGTGGCGGCGGTGTCTAAAAACCTTCCGGGGCTCTATCCCTATCTGTTCTCAAATCGGTCGGACGCAATGCTGAGGGCAAAGGGTTTGAGCTTTCCGGGGGTTACCGCTCAGCCAGTGACCACTGCCAGGGTTCGCGAGCAAGCAGCGTCGTCGAGGGCCGCGGACAGAAGCAAGATGAGACCTGCTCAATCATCCCGCAAAGTCGAGGCAGGCGTCCTGTCTGAGCCAGGTGTACTAGAGACGCGGCCGTGCGGGGATGCCATCCATGACGCCGCGAAATGGAGTATCACATCGAGTGGCGCGACGCTTGGGGCGGTGGACTCTATTGCTTTGACACCGCAAGAGGGCCTTTCAGGCGCACCACCAACTGTTAGGAAATCGTGGTCGGCCGAAGAAAAAGGCGGCCCAGCTTCAAAAAGTAGGGAATTGCGGGAAAATTATGTGGGGTTACAACGCCGCTCAGAGGTCGGGCCTTCCCGGCCTGATGGCTCGAAAGGAGTAGATACAATTCAGCGGGCTCATGGACGAGCGGGGAGGATGCCAAGCGAGCATATCCTTTGCATGGGGTATGAAGCTGCGGGCCTATCTTCTCAGGAGCTGCATCAAAAGCCGGATCGAGCTCAAGTTTCTGACGAAGGGTCCCGACTCTCGCTTTTCGGAGAAAACTCGCGCGGGAGTCGGGGTCAGACGGGCCACAGCTAGATTATTGTTCGACTTCGAAGCGGTTCCCGAGGACCTCGCGAAGCGCTCCTAGCTTTTATGGGAGTTCGAAAGTTTTGCGTGTCGTTTCGTTGCTTTGCTTTTTTAGTGTGTTTTGTTCGGCTTCAGCAGTTTCCGCTGTTTGTGCGTGGTCGCGCACACACTTTTGCCGTTTCGTTGGTTATGAGAGATTTCCTGAACCAAAATTAGAAGCCGGGCGCTTCATAAGCAAAGGGTTATGTTTATGTTCTGTGGAAATTCAATTTGTGTAAAGTGTATCCATAAAGTCAGGGTTCTCTCGAGTGACAATATTTATATTGTTGTGGTCTACTTTAAAGGGACAAAGTTTGTATCAGTTTTATAGCAATCTGGCAGATCCCAGGGTTGGCTGCGCACTTGCGGACCTGCGACCTTGGGCAATGTGCGGCCAGACCGTTGTTTGTTTCATCTGGTGCACTGACGAGCTCCCTTGAGAATGTGACTGCTGCAGTCCCCGAGAGACACTCGGCGAGCGACTACGGGTTCTTCGGGATTCAACGTGGGCTGCAACCCTTTCGACGCCTCTTCCCCGGCGGCGGAGGAGCTGTTATGATCGGCCACCCAGAGGGCAGGTTCGGCTTCCTGGCGGCGCCATCGACCACCCATCGAGTGACCAGAGACTCGGGCTCGGCATTCTGGCGCCGCCGAACATGCCGACCGACGCGGCGTGGGTGGGGTGCGGCTTCCGGGCGACACCGAGCGGGCCACCCGGCACAGCGGGAGCTGACCCCCCTGACACCCCGCTGAGAAACGGGGGCCCGCTTCCTCGGCCTTCGGACCGGGTGCTAACGAACGACGTAGACAAGTGGAGACGTTTGGGTCTCGGCGTGTGATCGGGAGAGCTGCCTGTTCCCGCGATCTTCTGGGAGACGGGACGAGAGGGATGCTTGGACCGGGGTGTGACCACGTGGGAGGTCCGCGTCCCGGGAGACCTGCAGAGAAGTCCCGTGGTGACGAAAGTGCCCTTTCCCCTCGCGGGACCTTGGACAGGGACCCCCTCGCCACTTCAAGGAGGCTACATTAGCCGGTGCTCGGACTCGTCAAGAGTCTTCCCTTCTCAGACACCAAAACTGAAAGATGACGATGTAAATATTCCTGTATATAAACGTCTTCTCCTCTCAGTGAACGCTCTTATGTATCTTCGAAGTCCACGACGCTTGGAAGTGGGAGCATGCTCGGCTCGGAATCGTAACAATATGAACCCTATGCCCGACACACATGAAACTTTACCTTCTGTACATCGGGATTACGTGATCTTATTATAGTACACACATGTACTTTCCCATGTTTTCTTCGTTGATCCGCACTTTTTCTTTTTTGTTAATATGACCCTGAGCGCCGAGAATGCCCTATCAACGATAACGCTGGGCACTGTCGAGCTGAGGAGGTGAAGCGCTGCTTGAGCGAAAATCGGCCAATCAACCAGTTGTGACCGCCAAAAGAGACACGCTGCGACGTTTTGAAGCACAACACAACATGCAGAGCTTGCATCCACTCTTCCTTACAACGAGTTTGAAAACAGCCTCGTACATGGCGGAGTCATGGGGCATTTCGGACTTCAAGTTTCGATGATGGCATCCGTGTATCCCATACATTCGGACACGTTTCGGTCGGCACTGCCGTTCCACTTTTTGGCCACGGCTCTGCGGTACGACTGGAAGGTCAAAGTGACCTTTTCCGGTTAAAACTGAATTTTAGAAAATGAATTCGCGTACTTTTATCGGTTTTTATTAGTTTAAGTCGAAAATGGCGAACCTACAAGCTAACCTTTTTCGGTTAAAACCAAATTTCTGAAAATGGATTTGGCGTAGTTTTAAACCAAAAACGAAAAAATGGATTTGGCGTATCAGTTCAAACTGAAAACTCGGAACCCTAATTATATCGAGCACCTCAGGGAAATGTAAACACATTTTTAGATGATATCAATAAATCGCTAACCACAACAAAGACAGATTTAATAGTTGTAGGGGATATTAATCTTGACATCACGAAACCTAGTTTAATGATAAATTATTACCTAGATGATATGGCACAAGAGGGACTGGAATCAATGGTATATGAATTCACAAAAGAAGAGATATTAGGCGAGAAACTAACACAGTCATGTATAGATCATATACACGTGCGGTCGAAGGAAGGAAACCCCGAAGGACAAGTAATCTCTGAAAAAGTCGCTGACCATTATCTTGTGGCAGTAACTATTCCAGATCTTGTCCAAAACAGTAATAAAATTATTGAAGGCTCATTTATAAATCATAAGAAAGCGATAAATATATCGAAGAAATTGTCTGGAAAGTTCTCGCCAAAGCAGAAAACCCAGAAAAAGTATACGATAATATTGTTAAAATATTCCATGATATTTATTCAAAGTCAACTCGAAGATGCAGTACGAAAAAACGTAAACAACGGAATCAATGGATAACTAAAGAAATTGATGACCTGATCAAAGATCAACAGGGTTTGATCAAATTAGGCTAGAGATATTAAATACCATATCACTATAATGATACCTGCATTATTACAGTTGTACAATCGTATATTTTCCAGCGGCCTCGTCCCAAAAAAGCTTGAAATATCCGTTGTTCGGCCTATATACAAGAAAGGTGAGAAAAATAAATTCCTAAATTATAGACCAGTTTGCACACTTTCTGTGATAAATGATATAATGAAAAAATATATTAATGAAGTTCTTAGGGGCTATATTGCTAAATATAGCCTATCAACTAACACGCAATATGGATTCAGGGAACATATAGGAATCAGTGACCTTCAAGAAGACTTTTTTGACTATGTAAATGAAAACATCGACGCCGATAATTATGCTCTATCTTTATTCATTGATTTTACCAGGGATTTCGAAACAATCAATCATGATAGCTTAATGGATAAACTGTATAGTATTGGAATTCGAGAGAAGACATATGATTTATTTCGAAATTATCTTAATGATCGGTTTCAGGTAGTACGTTTAGGCTCAAAATATAGCAAGGAAATTAAGGTAAAACAAAAAGTACCACAAGGTACAGTCCTCGGTCCACTACTTTCTAATATATATGTTAACATAATAGCACAGGTTAGCTTAAAAATTAAGCTCCTTCAATTTGCAGATGACACGGTAATTGTATACGCACATAGAAATTACGAAGTAGTGGCAATGACTATACAAGATGATATACATAAAATTATTCAATGGTACCGTAAAAAGCAAATAATTGTAAACGTTCCTAAAACGCAAGAAATATGCTTTAGAGATCCAAGAAAAAAAATCGTAAATGAATTTCCAATAAAAATGCATGATCAGAACTACGACAACTGCTCGTGCATCCCGCTAAAATACGCTGATAATGTAAAATGCCTGGGTATGCACATAGAGCATGTTAAATAGGATATTCACATGGACCAGGTTTGTAAAAAATTAAGGGTATTAATGGCACATATGTACCACATCCAAGAACTAGTACCGCGATCCATACTTAAAATGATATACAATGCACTAGGCAAATCCGTACTTTAGTATGGAATAGCAGTTTACGGGCACTGTGCCAAGTAGTTACAATTAAAGATAGAATCGATTCAAAAAAGGATAGTTAGGAATATTGGTTACCGAAGCGAAGGAACTAACCTCTAAGATTATATGCATAAAGAATTAGGAATATTACGTTTCAGAGATCAAATGAAGTATGATATTATTATAAAGCATTTTTTCAACAATAAATATAGGCGCGAAAATAAAAAAAGCAAGGACATTAAGACCCAATAAAAAATGTGTTGAACAATTTATAAGAACAAGATATGGAGAGGCCACAGAGAAATATTACACACTTAAGCTTTATAATACATTACCCGATGAGCTACTAGAAATAAGATCCCCTAGAATGAAACAAATAGTAAAAAAGTGATAATTGAACAGGGGAAAAAAGATTCTTAAAAGGTAATAGGTATATTCGATGAGTATCCCCGAAAACGCAGGATATAAAAGTTTTTTTTTTTATTAGAATTATCTAGTAAGTCGTGAATTATATTTTTCTTTACGGTATGTAAATGCTAATTCAGTATGATTCGTCGGGTTTACACATGTACTCATCAAAGTAGACGAACGAATATAAGTTTTAAAAGGAGGTGGAACCGTAGTAGCAGGTACTAATATTGGCATGTTTTGTTGTTTTAGTTATCTCTGCAATAAAAAGCAGAGGCTCCTGTCGCGTCCCGCACGCAAGCCATTATTGGCTTATGGGGGCTTTATATTGTATTATTTTCAAAGAAAGTAAATAAAGATGGTTTTTGCATTGTATGGTATTGTATATAGCTGCCGCGTGGAAGCTCCGTTCTTTGTTAGTCGTCACTTATGGGCGCAGCACTCAATGTTTGAACGACGCAAAATATCTATTGACCTGTTTAATCATCAGGCAACATGCTGACCTCAGTCCGCACTTGTTTTGGTATATATTTCACTTAGCGAACTCTTCGACCACTCTTGGCTTTTTTATATAAATTCCGATGGTCATTTCTATTTTTTTTCCATGCGTTTTTTTGTTTAGCTACACGGGTCAACAAGTACCGGTTACGTACTGGCGCCGGATCGCAAAAAGCCTGCTACGCCAAAGTAAGTGGAATGAGTCGGAACTCTACTCATGTCACGCACGCGACATCCTGTTTTGCCGAGCGCAACGTCACTAGATCAAAGTCAGCTGACACTGCTTCCTAGAACGACTAGCGCCTTTTCGTGTGCTCAAAAGTCTACACAAAAAAGAGCATCGTTCCGAAACGGTCGTTCTCTGTTGCTCGTGGTGGTGTTAACGCTGGTGACGCTGGGAACGTTATTCGCCCGTACCTGTTCGCGTGCAGGCAACAGGATGGTGTCTTTTCTTTTTTCTAATTACGTTGTTGTTTGGAGCTTGTTAATAAATCTAAGAACGTTGGCAGTTGTCATATCTCTGACCTCGGATCTGTTATCGGAAGAGCGATTGTTTTCTCTGCTCGGAAATTTATGGTACTAATGCTAAGAGGGGGATTGATTGCGTGCTCCGAGACTGATATCAGTTGCTATAAAGTGCAGTACATTTTCGGAGACAGGACGACGTTTGTCCTTAAATAAAGTTGAGAAACTGAATCTTCGTTCGTCGCATACTTGAATAATAAAACTTGAGGACGCCTAAGCTTCGCTTTTAGGAGTGGAACGCGATAGCTTAATATATAAAGCCCTGCTCGTTCCCAAGCCCCGCAAGTGTGTCTGTGTGGCCTGGTAAGCGTAGAAGAGGGCGGGTGATTGAATTCCCCTTACGGCCGCCGTAACGAACGGACTTGTCCATGCTTATAGCTCCCTGACAACGGTAGCGGCCGTGCCCGTCCGCTGTCATAAGGCAATTGGCCCTTCGCCGAAGGATTCTCGCCCGCAGCTGCCGACGTTGCCCGCCGGAGAGGCGACAGAACTCGGCGTCGTTTGGCGCTCGTAACCTCGATAAGCGACCATACAGGATCGAAGACTTCAATCCTACCCACACTGGTCTTCACATCAACCGTAAACGGTGACCTCAATCCAAACTGAAAGCTTAGAACCTTAGACAAAACAAACAACAAAACGAACACACGAACCCACTTCATTCCAGCCACCGTTTACGTCACCGTTTACGGTCGATGTGAAGACCAGTGTGGGTAGGATTGTATAGATAACAAAGGTTGACCTTGTGACGTCCGTGGTCGGTGATTAGGTTGTGGATATATAAGACATTGAGGAAATAAACGCAGCAGCTGAGTTTGAGACGTTCTTTTCCCCTGTCTTTCTTCTTCGACCAAGTTTCTCAGCTTTTACCACAGTCTCGGGTTTTCTACATCATGATCAACGTATATAGGAGTACTTCGCTGCGGCGAGTGACCGCCAGTCATGTCCTACTTTTATATTATTTGACCTAAATAGAATTAAAATGTTATTACGCCCTTTGTTAATTTACAACATTAGAATATACTCGTTGGCTTGAAGTAAGCAGACTTGTACATAGTTCAACTACTCTACTGAGGTTACTGTCCTTAACTACTTTTCTGAGTAGTTTAGTAACTTTCAATTACATTTTTTTTTATTTCGGTAGTTAGTAGTTTACTTTAATTACATTTTCATAGTAACTTCTAATAAATTACAAATTACTTTTGAATTTTAGCGTTTGTTTTGCCAATAACAAATATTCCTGCGCAAAGGAGATAAGATGGAAGATCAGATGATAATTGCAAAGAGGGGGGTGCATGTGGCGTAGGAAAGGAGGTGGGAGAGAAAGTGGGTTGGAGAGTCCAAAACATAACACAACGCCTTACTTGTGCCTATATTCTAACGCGCCTGCGGGGTAGCACAAGTGCCGTTGTGTGCCGCCATCTACCCCCTGATGACTCGTGTTGCCGGCACGTAAAGCTGGGCACATAACTAAAAGAGCAGCTAAGACGTGTAAAGAGAAGGGGAAAGGAAACAAGCGACGTTTCGGACGCTCAACCTTGATGGAGAGCAGACATCGGAAGTCTGCGATCTCTGATTTCTTGTACAGAATTGGGGTGCTTGCAATTTGCCCGATGTACCTTTAGACTCGACGTTCCGGGTACGTCTGACGTACCTTTAGACTCCGCCTTCCGGATACGTCCGACGTACCTTTAGACAGAGCGAAAAAAAAATATAAAAGGAAAGGTTTTGAGAAGAGATCGTGGAGGTCCTCCTGCCCGGACTTGTTGGCAACTTGACTGCCAAGATCATTTTTGTAGAGAATTAGATTTTCGTCATTGATTAACATTTAGATATTTTGCTCCCTTGCGGAACGCAATAATATAGCAGTTGATTCATATTTCGCCTGGTTTCATGAAAAGCGCGAGTCAGGCCGTCGGGCCACATTGCACCAAACGCCGGGGACACGTCGAGGAAAAGCGCCGTGTGTTGTTCGGCGACCTTCCCATCTTCTTTTTTGTCAAAAGAAAGCACCCGCCAAATGCCCTGATCACGCACGTTGAAACGCACGTAAATTTGTTGAGAATACGTCCTATGTGAGTCGGCCTTAACGCGTTCAACGAGTGCAGCGGTGACAAAGACAGCGAGCTTTAGGTCTACCCACTAATCCTTCCAATCAGAACTCGGCGGTCTGACGTCCATGCGCGCTCTTGTTTTCTACTTTCTCTCAGTTTCTCGGCGCATTGATTGGCAACATCAGCTAATTTCCCAGGTATGGTAATAAAAGTTAAATGGTTTCAAAATTAACATTATGTATTACCATATGCAATAACGCAAAGGCTAACAGAGTTGTGTGACTGACATCTTTCCCTGTCTCTTCAACTTTGATTGTTTAGAGATTTTCTCACTTAGTCTCAGGTGCTTTAACAAAATGCTAAACTTGCACCAATTCGCATGTGCCCTCACTGTGCTTTAGCAGAGTGAGTACAAAAATTAATGCCACTTTTTTTAAATTATGGACGGCGCGGCAGTAATTGAATAAAGACACTTCATGTTTAGGGAAGCCTCTAGCCGTTAAGATACTCTTAAATCAAAAGGCACTATTCTAGGGGGAACAGCTGATTTCATTTCAGGGTTGTTAACCTTCGCTCCCTCCCCCTTTTTTATGTAAACCAATACATAGGAAAAACAGAACATTGTCTTAACGATCGCCTTCGCGAACATAACATCGTCAACGCCAACTCTGGGCACTTGGAAATTTACTGTCATGATTTTATAGCTCGGCGCTTTTAAACAAGTGCACCGTGTTAATCAGGAATTAAACCAACTCAGATGGGAAATAATCGAAACTGAACACATTGTAAAACTGGATGACAGATGTGTTAGCATCCGTAACCTTGTCCACTAACATGGAGATTTGTCTTGGTCTTTTGCCCCCATTTGCCCCCCTACTCCAGGGATTATTTTCGTTATAGATTACTTGGCCGCGGCAGGTTCTTTCAGACACTAGCGGATATTTCTGTCGGTTTCGCTTCGTGATACATGAAACTAGTAGAAGACGAAGTGTAACAAGTGACGGGATACAAACCAAGAGTTGACAGTCAGTGCTGTGCGAGTGCTTCTTTTATTGCGTGTTCGCGTCCCTAGACTGACAGTCCTACGGCTGCGCTGTTACGTTCAACATCCTCAAACAACCGTGAAACTCACCCATACAGCAGCCAACTCGCCCAGACTACAGTTCCTTGAAGACGCTTCACAACAAAGCAAACAAAATCTCCAACGTGCGGAGGCCCAGTGACTCGTCGTGGAAGCGAATGAAGTGAATGTGGATGTGTTCTTTTCTCACTTAATTTTCTCATTTTCTTTATTTTATATTTCTTGTATCTTGCTTCTTTTAATTTATACATTGTTTCATCAATGTACCTCTATAGTGCATTCAATGCATCAAATATTATAAGGATGTTGTGATCGAGTGGATGAGCAAGACAAAATAATAAAGAATAGTTGATGGTCAGCTTTGTGTATATGTGCCTCATTGTGCAATTGTTAAATTTTCAAGCTGTTTCTGCATAATCATGTACAGAACAGCGCGTGCTTCGTTATGTCAGTGATCGTTAGCGTAAGTCCCTAAGCAACAATAAAATAGTCGCAAGCCCCGCTGGACCCACACGGATTGAGACAGGTGTAATGCGAGTCTCCAGGAAAATATTTCAATTCAATTTCGTTTTAATGTTTATGTTTCCAACACATTGTTGGAGGCCCGCAAACGAAAAGCTCTCACAGAGAGCTTGAGACTGTCTGGGAGCCTGTACAAGGAGCAGCGTTTCAGTCCTTTAAACTTACGTGGCACGTCGTCACATGAATTTACATAGCCTAATTTTGACGCTCTTCGCAGCTAATTTATAAAGAAACAATCAGTTGCAGCACACAAATATGTGTATATGTAAAGTAATATAATAAATTTCAAGGACTATGTTCCTAACAAAGTCCGTAAAAAACGTCACAAGACAACCATGGTTTCTTTTTTTCTCGAAAGCGGTGTTGAGTTTGCTGTTTCCTGGAAAACGATGAATCATATTGAATTAAACGTATTTTTTTCTCAGTATTTTCGGTTTTCAGTTCTGTGTGTTTTTGAATGGCCAGTGGGGTATCACAAACTCTGAACTGACGGCATATATACAAATATATATTCCGTGTGTTTTGGCGCAGACTGACAAATATTCCTAAAATTAGTGCATTCCGGGTGCACATACAAACAAAGGAAAAAAAAATTCTTCAGAGTCGCCCGAGATATATTCCCAACGAAGCGGGGAAACGTAACTGATGAAAACTTCTAGAGGCGGCTAGCGCTTAAATGCAATTGCTACTAATAAGAAAACAATAAGCCATGAAGCAAAAGCAGTTGTGTATTCGGTTGTCGAAATAACGAGAAAAGTAACTCGTACTTTCGAGCTGAAGTAACGCGTTCCTTTGAGAACAGGTTTTTGGTAACGTTTTTAGTGAGTCAAGAGTAACAGTATTTAGTTACTTCTCTAGGATAACATGTACATGTTTGGTCAACAGTAGAAAATAACGGAGGGAATATACGCAAGTTCCAGGGCACCCAGTCGTGGTTTCTTGACCGTGGGCATCTTCAAAAGGGTGCCGCACTCTTCCAGCACAAACTGCTCTGAGAACGAAGAGACGTAGACGCAAGATGTAGTGTTCTCGTATGTTTCGCACTTTTTATCAGTGGTTGTACCAAAAAATTAAACAAAATATTCGCGAGTTAACTTTCTGGGAGGGCACACTCTACGCTGTTTTGGTTTATGATCAGGCTCCTGATGTGGCGTTGAGTCGCTTGCTTACATGCATGCTTATACAACGTGCAGTATACAAAAAGCCCCAATCCTATCTTTTTTTTTTGCCAGTGGGTATTGTTTTAATTATTTCTTGTAAAGTGCAGACAGTGATACGTGTTTGTGGCCTCTCAGATTACGTGCTCGAGCAGATTACTTTATAAAATGGGTTTACGTCTATGGTTCCCCCTTTGTTTAGCTTGCTTTTGCCCTAGTGCTAGTTTAAAGACCATTGCTAGGATTGTGTGTGTCATTAATGCTTTACATGTACTTGCCTAACGTTTATTTTCTACTGGATATTTTTTTGTAAAACATCTGATTTAGTGCTTTACCTTGCATCGGAATTTACTTTTTTCGTGCGTTTTTGTGATCACCATGCCTAAGCTTTGGCAACCCACATCATTGATATGTTTATTAGCGTCAGCTTATTCTTTATTTTCTGTCACAGCTGCCCGTAATCTCTCGTGAAACGTTAATTGCATGCCTGCTGTTGTATTGTACGCATCGTTTCCCGCTGCTTATGCTAGCAGCGATAACGCGTTATTTTATTTCAAACAGCATGTTTAAATCTGCTGCCGACCCACGTCCTGTGTATATGTATAATTCCCTCGCGACCCTCCACTATATCATAGAGCTGTGCTTTATATGCAAAACAGCCTTAGTTGCTACCTCCGCCTTAAACCATTTTATATTTACTGGTATATCTGCTGAATTTTTTTATTTGTTTTCAATAAACATGTTTTTATTATTGACTGTTATTTTATACGTATTTCTTAAAGTGTGGCACATTCACAAACACCAATACAAGCGGTAAGGAGGTTAAGGTAGTGAATGTTTGATCGAATTGGAAGTTTGAAGTCAAAATAGCGCTCCAAAATTAATTAAAAATATCACACACCAATGTACTTTGCATTTCTACATTAATAGTTGTTTTAAAGTTTTGACTATTACACGTGCAAACGTCTGTTGATTTCAGTATAACGCGATCAAACAGCCATCCCTGACAGTTTACCTACTGTCACGCACTCGGAAACCGATTATTGTCCTTTGATTTGGTGAGGTGTGGTTCAAAAGCCGCACTGTCTCAATTGAAGAAATACGGTAACGTATTTCTTTTATTAACGTGGAACTTTCTGAGCGCGATCCCACTATCCCGTCACTTGTTTTAAGTTAAATAAAGCGAGTTGCAGTTATGGGCCTTCCTCTCCTGACTCGGTCAGTATATGCAGGGTGTCTCAAATAGCACTCAGGCTCTTTAGGTCGACCGCAAAATTTGGTTTCTTAACCTATCGCGCTATGATTTTTGTAGCATTTCCCACAGATGATGCATTATTTTTTTAAAAAATTGCAAGGAACGGAACTTACCTGAGAAAAGAGTAAAAAAAAAGTCTTAACTCCTACGGAAACGCATCGCAGCCACCGTTCTTCAATTGATAGGGCACCGTTTGGTATGGAACACAAGAGATGACGCATGCGGTCGCAATGCCAACTGCCGCCAACGAACGAGCATGTGGCGCCGAGAGCCGGCGTCTTTAGCAGACGATCTTTTAGACTCAAAAGCGGTCCGCGTTCCGCAGGCGGCGAAAGTTGCAGAATCAAAAACAGGCGCGGCAACAACATGGAACTGGAAAGCAGACGACATAAGTACCCCGAAAAAAAGTAAAAAGAACCCGAGAAACAATTTTTTTAATTCGATTAATTGTCCATTCAATGTTTTTTTTATTAGTAAGGATGATAAAATCATACATTTTCAGCTGACATCGAAAAAGCTCTCGCTGCTTTTGAGTTGAAACTATTGTCTGCTATTTGACGCCGGCTCTTCGGCGCCGTATGCTCGTTCGTTGGCGGCAGTTGGCGACGCTACTGCTTGCGCCACCTGTTGCCTTCCGTGTCAAACGGCCCCTCTTGTTTGAAGAGCGGTGGCTTTGCAGCGTTTTCAAGGGAGTTAAGCCCTTTTTTTTTTACTTTTTCCTTAGGCACGTTTGCTCTTTGCAAAATTTATAGAAAAAATGCACCATCTGTGGGAAGTGCTGCACAAAAATCGTAGTGCAGTAGGTTAAAAAAAAAATGATTTTCTCGGTCGATTTTTACGACCCTGGGCGCTATTTGGAACACCCTGTATATCTAAAAAAAATTCTCCGAGAGCGCAAAATAATGCACTCCATACCTAGTCGATTGCTGGCTTCTAAGAATTCGTGCCATGGGAACTGGAATTTGTTCCAGTCTATTAAGTATTCGTTTCTCAAGAAAAGTACCTATGATGGGTAATGATATACTTCAGAAACGACGGATTCAGTATAAGGTGACAGGTAAAGTACAAAAGCAAATTCTTGTGTGTATGTTTATACAGCCGGAAGTTAGTGTGCCTCATTGGGCGCCTGGTGTGTCAGCTCTAGATGAGCAATTTAGCCAATGCGGTTCAACCGCTAGCCTGGGGTCTTTAACGTGCACCATGCAGTAGTGATACACGACCGCACGCCAGTACGATGCTCATCCAGATCGAAACGGGCAGAGGTTGGGATTGAACCAAGGATGCTGTGTTCTGCAGCGCGAGCTTTCGCTCCACGTGCTCCGAGCTGGTGTGCGCTAGACCACTCGGCCACCGATCCCCCTAAAAGTGGGCGAGATCGCACGCGCACCTTTACTTTTTATTGCACGAGAGGTGTTCACTAAGTATTGTAACTTTGTTAAATGTCATGTGTGTGTCTACAAAATGTCTTGTTGCTTGTGTTTCATAGAATGTAACAAATATACGAGAGCAGAGACGGCTGAACAACAAAGGCGACATATTTTCCCCTATAGTCTGACAGTTTGCGCAGAAACGGGGGTATAAATCTAGGCTGCATAAACTGCCGGGATGTTTCTTGCCCTCGTAAATTTGAACTTCCAGAAACTGCCTATGCACGAATGTTTTTGTGTGCGTTAGCATTGGTGCCCTGGTACATGCGCTGACCTTGGACTGGTTAGAGCACAGGTCATGCCTTCCGAGATCCCCAAGCGCACGAACGCTTCTCCGCCCGTCCCACTCGTGCGGAGAGGGCGTAATCGGAAAAAAGAGGAGGAGGTGGGCGTCTATCCGCGGGAAGGCGCTTCCAACCCAGTCATTGACAGCATGGCGCAAGGCAGAAGAGTTCAAGAAAACGTCTTGTTACGTTGAGTTACTGCAACGTGTACTTAAAAATGTTTCGGTATTGTAGTAGGACGGCGAACAGCTGCTCTGGGAGCGTACATAGAGAATTCGCGATGGATATTTAATTATTTAATTTGATATATTTGTCTGGACATGTTGCGGCTAGCGCTATAAGTGCGCCTTTTGAAATATTTGATTGTTCTCTGTAACACGTATAAAATTTCAAAAAAAAAAAAATTAGCTCCGTACAATAGAACTTGACAGTTTGTGGCAATGATGAACTACGTTCTTGTATTTTTAATAAATAATAATAAATTAGTTCATACGCTGGAAGACGCCAGATCGCTAAAGAAAAAATTGGGTGGACAGACTTTCATAAGTCAGGCAAATAAAATGCAACAATTACTCGTATATTAATATTTTACAAGT